CGACGGACGCCGATAGTCCCGGACAGCTCCCCCCTTCCTCCTCCAGCGACCCCCGGACGTTCCCCCTTCCCCCACGGATCTTTCCGAAATCGATATCGCTCCGCGCCACCGGTCGATACCGCACGGAATATCTTCGGATTTTTTTTCCGCCCGTCCAAGTCATCGCGTCGATCGACAACGATTCCCGCGGTCCAGCCCATTGTGTTCTTCGGGACATTACGAATCCCCCCCTCCCCACCCACTGGACGGCCGTATCCGATTGATGTGTTACAATCGTCGCGCGCACGTACAACCGTAGTAAACGTACAACTCGCGCACACGCACGTACCCAAATCGTTATCATCGGATACGACGTTATTATCATCAGCAGCAGCCGTCGTATCATTGATGTGGACCGCGAAACGGCGTCGTCGGATTTTCGTCGGTACGATGATGCACTGAAAGCGGAAGGACGGTGTGAACGACCCGGACCAACGGAACTTTCGGGACAAGCAGTTGCGAAACACGGCAGCCTCGAGCCATGGACCGGGCGGATGGATCGAGAAACTTCGCTGGCAACCCGGACATCTGTTCGCAGGTAAGCGCCAACCGATACGTGACTTTGACGTCCGTCCGTCGACTGATCGACATAACTGTGTCAACGGCTGTGCGAACGCGGCATAGGTTTTCCTTGAACTAGGCAATCTGGGCAGGCATAGTTAGAGCGCGCGGTGCGTGTGTCACCGTTGTCCGCGGTGTGACCTAGCCACGTTTTCCTGGTTTCCTCAGTGTTCGACAAAAGTCCGATTACTTAAATCCGCGTTCGGTTGGCCGAGAAACGTAAAGAATATACAATTTTTTGAACGTCGTACGTTCATAGTTTTTGATTATTTCTTTCCATTTAACGTGCTCGGAAACATGAAAGATTCTGGTTATTTGGTCAACGAATGGGTAATGTTCCGATTAATGTACACTGACGTTTCAAAGTCATTAGATTTTTTTTTTTTTTGAATCCCAAAGACTGTAGTTTTATGTAAAACCTCTTAATCGTCTTGAATCTTGTTTGATATAAGTCAACACATTTAAATTTCAGCATGTAATTCTCAAGTCTTATTCAAAAAATAGTAACTAAATTGGCTACTATATTCCCCTCAGCTTATTTCAATTTAAAATTTAAGAACATGACTTGTATTATTTGAATCTACTGTTAATAATCTATCTTATTCATTTATTCATTATTTGGTTTTCTTTAAACGTTTTTACTATCTACTAATCTATAAATTACAGTTTTGAAAGTATGAGTCTTAGTAGGTAGAGGAAGTTGTTGATAATTTCATCAATAGTGTTAAATTTGGCAAACTTTTAACAAAGTCATAATATTATTATTTATAAGTTTGTCACTTCTTAAAATAAAACATGAACTATAGTAAACAAGTCTGTTTGATTATTATTATATATTCAATTTTGCTTTTATCATGATATTAAAAGTAAATATATAATAAATAAAATATGTTTAACTTACCTGTAGTTACAATTTTTTTTACATGTATAATAATTTTCTCTTCCGAGTATGTTTGACTAATTCATGAAATTTTGATAACTGTGTGGTTTATGAATTGGTTTCACCTACTTATAATATCAAGGGTATATTATGAAATACCCTACTTAAGTAATTACATACCATATTATTTCCTGTAGGTTTTGGATTATTATTTTTAATAATTTGATTATCTATACGTATTTACTTATCTTAAGTTTTTTGTAAAATATATCAATAGTTAAAACTTTTGTTTATGTTTAATTAAAGTACATATAATGCTCTTAATCCATTAATAAAAACAGTTTTGTTGCAAAAATTGTATAAACAAACAACCTATACTGTTTATTTATAAATTTATTTACAATCTATAGCATACAATCATTTTTATAGTTTAATAGGTTTACATAATATTTAACTTTTAAAAAAGTAAAAACTTAATTCATTACTCATTTTTATTTGGTTTTCAAACACTTCTGTGTTAGTTTACTTACTAAATATTTGAAAAAAGTTAAATTTTTCTTACTAAAGCTTTTATTTAAATTCTAGATCATATCATTAATTTATTAAGAGTTATTTGCTAACTATATTTATTTCTTATAATGCAGTAAATATATTATACTATAAATAATTACTTAAATAAATGATAAAAGTCAAGTTTCATAACATGTTGATTTACTTATATAGATATTTAAAATGTATTAATTCTAAAATTTTAAATATTATTGATTTAATTAGGAATTTTAGTTCCTTAGCTATTTTATTAAAGTAATTATAAGTATTTTTAATTTAGTAAAACCTACTTTTATGAAATAATTTTTATTCATTTATTTTTGTTGTTTATTCTGGCTTATCATGATTTCATTTCTATAGGTATTAACATTTATTGTTATGAAACCACTATCTATTTTTGGTTAATTAAGGTTAGCGAATTTGAACTATGATTGATATACTGTGATAAACATAATTTTATAATTAGGTTAATACATTTTTACTTTTGAATGATATTAATTTAATTTTGACTTTTTATCATCTATCACTGAGTAAATCTTAAAGTGTTGGGGGATTAATATTAGTTAATACTAATTATTTTTAATATTACTAAGTAGGTATCTAAAATAATTTATACTTATAGTTAATTATTTATATATAAGTATTAATTATTATGCTTGGTTAAATGAGATCAGGAATATAAAACATAAATTAAAATAAAAGTTACCATCTGATTAGTAGTCAAATTTTAAGAAATATTGAATGTATGAAACCCAGTTATTTTTATCATACTTATATAATAATATGGATTATAGATGTGTTAAATTAGTATCCATTAATAATTTTACCAAATTTTGTATACTAAAAATATACTGAAAATAACTTATTTTTTATTTTTAATGTGTGAAATCTAAATTAATTAATGAACCTTATAAGAGTCAAGTTAGAAAGTTACTAAAGAATTATACCAACTGACTAAGTTTTATAAAAATTAATTTTAATTTTATTTACAACTTTCTAACTAGTTAGTATCTACCCAAATTAGTACAGCTCTGCACATTTTGTCTGTAACACGTCTGATATACTTTATCAGTCATACGTTGATGTCCTATACAACAGCTTGTTAAATTTAGAAAATATGTACTGTATTTTAAAATTAAGCTTTATTTTGTATTATTGTTGATTTGTTAACATAATGATGCAGATAAAACAATCTACGTCATTATATTAATTAAGTAAATAATAAATACAGTTATTATAATTTGCTCTGATAAGTTAATTATAGTTTTGTGGATATCGTTTAATAAATATTCTGAAGTATTAATAAGTTTTTCTTAAACTGGTAAATTTTTTTTATATTATATTCTTGAATTACTATGAATGATATGTGATATTACTATCCTATTAGACATTTTAATTTGTTTTTTTTAGTGTTGGCCTTATCAATATAGAATACTTATATTTAAAAATAAATAATTCTTAAATAGTAATAAAATTGTGTTTTCTTAAATCTTTTATCCAGGGACTGAGCCTTTAATGATTTTAACGGCTTTGTTTAAAGTTCTGGTCTTTAAAATATTTTTTCAGGGGTTTAGGTTAAATTTTGGGATTTCATAAAGTTTAAAATTTAGGTTCCGATTAGAATTGGTTTCTAACCTTTATTTTGGTGATTTTTTTTTTTTCAAACAAAAAATGTTAATATATGTATATAGTACATGTTACACTAATTTAGGTAGCTACTGTTAAAGGTTGTACAAGGTTGTACCTATATCAGGGATGGGGAACTCAAAGTTACTAGAGGGCCAATTTTTATAAAATTAAAAGGGGGCCAGAGCATAAAAAAAAAGTCATTCAAAATATGAATTTTAATTAGCATTTATATATATATACATGGAAATAATAAATTTAATACACCCGACAGCACGATACGAATGATACAAAGAAACTGATATAGTTAAATAGTTCCGTACAAACAGCTATAGTTGAAAATTATACTTATACATACATATGTTATTTAAACATTTAACGATGTTTAATACTAAATAACAATTATTATTTCGATGTCAGAGTATCGACGATAAACTTTAAAATTGTATGATGTAATTTTAAAATATAGTATGGGTCAGATAAAATAAGCTCATGGGCCGCATGCGCCCGCGGGCCGCCAGTTGCCCATCCCTTCCCTATACGAAGGGCATAACTCACTGTTTATATTTTTTTTCGTAAGAGCATAGCTTAAGGTTGTATTGTGGAATTCAAATTTACTATTTAGTTTCTAATACAATAATTTATTTTTACTTAACTATTTTAAAACCGAAAAACCCCTAAAAAAACCAGTATTTTTTAGTTTTTATTAATAGGGTTTTGGTTGTAAAATAAAGGTTACTGTTATTTTCGATTCTTAAATTTACACAAGGTTATAGATTCCTTAACCGGTTCTTTTCGGTCTGATCTCAGATCCTGTTATTATTTAATCAAATAATTAATACATTTTTAAATTGTTCAAATATTACAAAAGAATATACATTCAAAATGTATAGGTTATCTGATTATTTTATAAAATATTGTTTATCCTTGTAAACATTTTTGTCCTGTTGTATAAGTTAGTTTTAGTGATACATCCTAAATATTTTTATGTAGTTACTTAGAATACGATCTCGTGTAGTGTTGAAGGTAATTTACCTTAGTGAAACGGAAGAATTAGCTTGTTCATTAATATTAAATAAACATAATTTTATTGTTGCAAGTTTTTTTTTTTGTTTTTTACGCAATTTTTTAATGGTGTGATTTATATCAGAGTATACTATTTAAAAATTAAACTGTAATTAAATGTTGACGTCGTTTAAACCTATATTGAAAATAGCTAGAATTTGACGCACTAAATTCCAAAAAAAAGCAAGATGTTAAATACTTGGAAAATGTTTTGAATTTGTACTACGGGCATTTACTGAGTAATCTTGGGTTTATTTTTGTACAATTCAAAATTTTTAATTTTAGTTATAACAATTTAATACAAGTTTTTCTATAATATTATTCTTGCATTATCTACATTTATATTTAGGACACGAAAAAAATGAATTATTTACTAGTGATATTAAAAACGTAATTTTATTTTATTATTTATTTTATTATATAAACTATGATTTACTATAATACTAATTTTTGTAAAGATTAGTCAGAATTAGTGTAGTAGGACAAATGTGCACCACCCATGTATTGGGTTCATTTAAACGTAGAATATTAAAAATAACCAACACATAAATATATTTGATTAGGCAACACATTGAGTATTATATTTTTTTAAAAGCTAGTAATTTACTGATTTTTAGATATTTTGTTATTGCAATTTTGGAAACTCTTTCAAATTTGATAGCTACTTATTATATGCGTTTCACCGAGTTATTATTACGTATTTTCGGACATGTTATTTTGGATATAATTCAATATAAATATATCATAATATATCCATGTGTTTTGTTATGACTGATTATATAATACAATTTTTGACATAACTGTCGTAATCTGTTTCAAATGAAACAATTATTTTTCGATTCCTTTTTTGGTGTTGCTGTAATATTATTCAAGTTTTGTTTAGCAATTCGTTTATTATATGTTTATTGAACAGTAGTTATCGGCAGACAAAAATGACATTAAATTATTTTATCCTTTGATGTACTTTTTAAAATGTAATTTAGATTACGTTGATCTCGATTTGATGAAATCTTAAGCAATATTTACTTATTGAATAATAATATTAATTATTTAATAGACAAATACATTTATAAGCACAAAAACGTATATTAATTATAAATTATATTAATCTTCATTCTTCAAATTGATAATGCACATAATTCACCTGTTTGTAGTCAATTATATTCCAATTTGACATTATTAACTCAAATATCTTAACAATATTATTTTTTTAACAGTATTCACTTTGTCATTTTTTAGCTATATTATTACATTAAATACTTAAATGTACTTGTGCTTAAATTATATGCCTTCAAATATTTGTAAGTTTCAAAATTACAAGCTACTTTTTAAAGCCATAAGCGTTTTTCTGAGTAAAATTCATCTTGCATAACATAGATTTACGTTACATTAATGTTATTAAATAAACAAGTAGGAGTACCTACTCTCACAGTTAGAAGGCGTTGGCAATGGAAGTCGTTTTGTGGGGGCCCATGCGGTCCACCACACCTGTCTGTCCATTGATATTTTATGGTCTTAAGATGTATGAAAATAATCGTAAAGAATTTATAATTCTTATTATTATGTTTTTAGTTATTGATTTAAAATACATGTATTTCTACGTCAGTCGTGTTAAATGGTTAACATTGGTTCAGTGACGTAAGGGTAGACGCATTTTAGAATAATAATTAACCGGACGTTTAAGGACATAACAACTGTATTAACTGTTAAGGTCAATGGAAAAAACAGCAGATGTTACCATATGTCATTGTAGTTTATTTAACACACATATTTTTTTGGTTGAGATTTTACACTCGTGTTTTGTCAACAATAAACTAATATTATTTATTTTATGTTAAAATATTATACAATAATATAATAATGTAATGTAATATACTCATTTTCATTTAGGTCAAAGAAGAGGCTGAACTATTATTATGTCTATGATATTATTATTAAATATTAAGGCGCATAAATAATTTAATTCACGAGACAATATTTACAAGGTTATAACCTATAATCTATAATTTGGCGAACATTTTTTAATGAAAAATAATTTTGTAGAGTAGTTCTAATTCCGAATAAAATTCAACATTTTAAGATTATTTAAAATAAAATTAGCATATAATATTAGTACCTATAGTTTTAATTTTAACTAGACAATCACTTTTACAATAATAATTTTATTTTAGTTTTATTATTTATTTACAGTTGTTAATATATCCATTGCGAGTGTTATGTTTATTGACATTGAAAATTAAAGCAAATCATAAAGTATTTTGAAGTGAAGAGGAAAACATTATTTTTCTATGTTCATTCTATTTTATTTCCGTATTTATACATTTTTACGTAACGATTTTATGCTATAAATGTATTACAAATAATTTTATTCTAGAGTAAATAAATAAACAAAATAGTTAAAATTTAAGCATGTAAATCTCCACATAAATTGTAAAATTATAAGACTATAAAAATAATATTTATTTCCGTTAATATTTTGTATTAGATCTTAAAAAGTATAGGTTAATGTCGCTTTAATATTCGATCTATAATAGTTTTTAAATGTTAATTGTATTTTACCCATTCATTCATTATTTATGTTAAAAAATTACTTCATTTCTTTACAAAAGAGTCAATAATTTATAACTTTCCATTAAATACTACCCACAAACTTAAATTTTCTTACGGGTCTAGGTTAGTAAATTATGTATTACATATTATTACTGTTTAAAAGAATTCAAATACTGGTTCCATGACTACATTAACATTGAAGCGTTTTAAACCGTAGGATTTAAAAACTATCATTTTTGATTCAACTGTAACAATTAGATACTTTTTATAACATATTGCTTCTATTATTGAATGTAAGTAACCTAACATTATGGAATTACGTTAAGCCGGTTTTAATTGTCGTATATTTCTCAGTAACTAATTGCCGTATATTTCCCAGTTACTAATTACCGTATTCAAGATCACGCAACCACGCATCATTTTATCTTCGTATTATCTCGTGAAATTAGCTAAAGTAACTTTGTTCGGAAAAATACCTATACACTTATTACTAAAGTATCGATTTAAACAAGAGTTAATTTTACAAAACATACAAGACTTTAAGATAAGCACTATTTTTATATAACTATTATACGTTAGCGTTGTAACGTGTAACTATTAGGTATACCCACTTAAAAGATTTTTCGTGACACACACCAGCGTATGACTCATTTTTAAGATAATACTTAGATTCAGTTTAACGATAGTTAAAATTATCTCTCATATTTTACAATTTAGTCTAAAATTTTATAATTCCGGATTTTGAATATTGATTGAACAAGTGGGTTCTTTTTTATATTAAGTCGGTATTAGTGTGCTAATTTAATTTAGTATGCGCTCATTAGGTTTTCCTTGTTCGAAATTAATTATACGTTTATGCGATCGATCGAGTGCAAAATTTATATAAATTTAAAAATCAAAAATGGGTAAAGGGATCCATTTTTTTAAATTTTGTTATTTGTTACAATATTTTCTAAACTTGCAAATTGAGTATTATGATAACTAAATGATCAAGTTGTAATATAGATGAACTCGTATCAGACTTTACTTTATCAGGATATTATTAAATATTTTATATTATTTATATAATATATATAGCAACATTGTAAACTACATATATTTGAGTGTTGATGTGTTAGTTTATTTCTTTTATACGAATGTAATAGGTTATATACAAACATAAATAATTAAAGTTCTTACATATTATTCTCTATTGTTCAAAGTAAAAAGAAAAAATTTGATTAATTTGACCCATATTTATGCGAGTGATAGTTTTTTTTTAATTTGTTAATATAAATGTAAAATCTTTTATTAAAAACGTTCTACGCACGCCGGTTTTTAATATTTTTTACTTGAGTTACATTTTTATATTTTATAATTAAGTAGATTTTTTTTATTTCATATGATTATACTTAAATTTTTTTTGTTATTTTATTCTTTTATAAAAATAAAGTTTCCAGTTAATTTAATGAATAGACAGGACTTTACTACTAAGTTGTTCTGTTAAATATTTTCCTTATAGTTAGTACTATTTAATTAAGTTGTTGTGTTATGTTCATTGTGTATTTTATTATTGTTGAATGTGTATGTAATCTAGATATAGTAGTACTTAATTACTTAATATTTCATGCTGCAATAATTTGATTTATAATTTGGACTAAAAATATGTATTTGAACAATAACTCCTAGTTTTGGTTTATTCATTTTGAAAATAAATTTAGTTTTTATAACATATACATAATTTTCTACAAATTGATTATTTAGTTTAACATTTATTAGTTTTACGTTTCATTACATTTTTACTCATTTTAACGATATATTCTAAAACTTAAACTCGTTCTAGAATAGATTGTTAAAATTATTAAAAATAGAAAAATTTATTCAGATTGAATAGTTATTATAAATAAATATTTTTCATATTATGTAATTTCGTGTAGATAGAAATATACATTTTTTATGTTCTGATATATTCTGAAATCGTTAAAAATGTATTTGTATTTAGATTATGATATTCTATTTTAACATAAATGCCAAAATTAATTTAAAATTCAAAATTATATTATCTTAAACATTATTTATGTGTTAAATTAATACATTTTATTTATGCTTTTTGCTACAATTTTATGTATTAATTTTTATGTCTTAAGTTCTAATAGGATATTTAAAATATTGTTTTATTCATAAATTAGAACATTTTTATTTTATATAGTTATTGGTTTAAATGAAAAAAAAAAAAGGTTTATTTTGATTAATAGTTTATTGAAATATTGGTTATAAAAAAGCTTTATTGTGTTCTTATAGATTGATAACTCTAAGAATAATATTCTTCATTTTACTTACATATTATGTTAAAGCATATTTAAAATGAGGATGATGGTTATTATTAATGATAATATAAGAACTTTGAATGATGAAATATATTTTTTTTTTACAGGCAAAACAAAGAGCTACGATAAAATGGCTCTTATCGAAAGTGTACAACAATAGAATTCCAGAAAATGTTATAGAGCCTTTTTATAAAGACCATGATGTTAGTAATGTTTATTTGAATACTAATCTAAATTAATTTTAATCTTATATTTTATAATTTTTGTTTTGTTTTTTTAGAATCAAGAACATTTAAAACCACCTTTGGTCCATTCATTAGCTAGTTCAGAGCTTTATTGTATGGCATTAGGGAATATATATTCTGATCCAAATTACCATAATCTCAATCACTGGGGTGTTATCCAAGCCTTAAATAAAAAGGGTGTGACTGTAAATGATCCATCAGTAACAGAGACTGTTTTAATTCAAACAACACCTTTAAAACTAGTATGTTTTTGTTAAATGAATACAGTAAAAAATTATTTTATTTTTAGTCCAAATTAACTATTTCATTTTATAATTACTGTCAATCTAACATTGATGTAGAGCGCTCACATGACAATAATGGAAGCTATTATGACATTGTATGCCAAAGAAGTAGCAACACCTAACCGAGTGATGGCTGCTATACAAAGACTGAACCATGTTCCTCACAGAACTCCTATTGTTATGCCTGAAGATCATGAAAGAGCTATTTTGTTGTGGGTTAATCGTACTGTCGAAGCTTTAAAACAACGCATATCCAGTTCACAAACGGTTGATTTTTAAATATTAAAAAATAAATAACATATTTCAACTGATACAATTTTGATTCATAAATCTAGGAAAATTTGTCTGTACCTGATATTACCCCTGTGAACGATTTTCATGAATTGAGCGATGGAGCAGCTATAGCAGCATTGATATCTTTTTATTGTCCTGATGAACTACCTTGGAAGTATATTACTGTATCAAAGGCACCAACGTCATCAGACTGTATAAAAAATTTCAGTGTTATTAATGAATTTTGTGATAATAGTTTGCCTTTTTGCATATTTCATATGAGGCCTCAAGATGTTTATTATATAAGAGGGTAATTAAATAATAATTTTGTTATGTACATTATACATATAATATAAATACTTATTTTAATTTAGGTCAATGAAAGCAAATTTAATTGCTTTTTTTGCTGATTTATTCAATGTTTTGGAAATACATCCAGCTAAATGTGTCAGTTTCAACCAGGGTAGTAATGATTTGGCAGAAGGTAAATGTTCTATTTCAGTATATTTGTGCAAATTATTATTTTGTGGACGTGAAATTAGAATGTTATTATCAAATTATTTGTTGTGCTTAAGAATGGCTAATGTGTGAACCTAATGAATCAGATAGTATATTTAAATTATACTCATATTTTATTTTTAAACACAGCATTTTTATAAATTTTATTATTTAAAAAATATATGTATTATTCATACTAATATGCTTGTATATTTATGCTGAAAAATTGAAAAGCATTTTTGCATAAAATTTGAGAATATTTAAAAAATTGAACTAAGCATAGGTACATAAAGTTTAAAAAAAAATAGTTTTTATTTCTTTTAAATAAATTAATGCATTTAATAGTATAATTATGCGTAATATTTTATTAAATTAAAATATTAATCAATGATCATTATTTTAATAATATTAATTAGTTGAAATATAACCTAAATTCTATAAATAAAAAATTTGATAAATAAAAGTTATCTTATAAATAATTTTGAATTTAACAATTAAATAAAATTTATAGTTAGGAATAATCATTTTTATTTTAACCAATATATATATAAAAAAAAAATTACTGTAATTACACGTCCACAATTAGTGTATTAAATATAATTTGGTACCTCATTAAGATTAATAATAATAATTTTTTATTCTTAAAGTGGTAGACTAGTTTTATAGAATAATTAGTTAACTTAATAATGAATATTATGAATACTTTCCTTTTTAAATAATAATCAATTATTTAATATTTTTGCTGTTTAATTTAGTTGAAATATTGACTTTAAGCTAATAAATCAGAAAAAATTTATAAAGTAATTTAATGATTATTGAGTCAAACTTTTAATTAACGTTTGAGAATTTAATGTATATATTTATATATATTTTACTTATTAATTTTTGCATGATCGTCAGTCTAACTATATAAAATATTAATGGTTGAATGGATGGATATTTTAACATTTTTATAACTTTTAACCAGTATATAATCCATCATATACCAATCACAAATTTAATATAAAAGTTTAGAGTCAAGAGGGGATATAGGTTAAATGTTAGGTGAAAAAAAAATTCAAAATATGATAGAATTTTTTTTTCCTACGGTATTAGCATATCCAAGAAATAGTCATGGCGTGGCGCATAAACGTTTATTGCCTCAAGCAATATCCGTTATACCTGATCTCCGCAGTAATTTGGATTCACACTCAACAGGGTTTACAGGTACCTGAATAATTCGAGTTGGTTATGAGATTATTTTTGTTTGTGTGTGGTTTTTTTTTGTATCAGTGCCACTAACATTTAATCTTCACTGCATTGGCTTTGTGTTCTACACCTATTTATTATTTTTATTTTCATCAATTGAATTTTAGATAATTTTTGAACATTAAATTTGGGTATTACTTTAGGTAATCATATTTTGATGACAATCATTGTTTATTTAATATTAAATATTTGCTAGAATTACTAATTGTTTATTATAATTAAACATAAAAATTGTGATTTTGAAGTTTAAAATTTTTTTATGCATGTCAACTCCATTTATGCTTGTGTGTTTAAATTTTAGTATTATTTACTATTTAATACTTGATGAAGTATTGTAATATAGTTATAATATAGTATTATTTTTTATTTATCAATAATTTATAATACTTCAATAAATAATTATTTTTCATTATTTTCGTAATTATAAAATTATTTGAATAAATAAAAAAAAATATTTTTTTGGTATTGAAACATAATTATTATTTAAATATCAGGTTTAGATAATACTTTTATCAATTGAAATTTTTATTATAATATCATTGTTTAAGTTATATAATTTATATGAATATATTTTATTAAAATTAAAAGCTAATTCATATTTAATTTATATAAGTTAATTATTAAAAATCATAAGAAAATGCAATTTTATATTTTATTTGTTATTATTATTTATCTATATTATTCTTTTATATAGCTTTATGTTGTTCAATTATATTGAATGTTTTTGTTATTTTATTATAACACACTAAACATAGTTGCAATTATTTATGTAGTGTATTTTGTCTGTAGGCATGGCACATAACAATTCTGTCAAAAAAGTTTCAAATACAATAACACCTCAATCGCCACCCGACGGGAAAAAAATTAGCCGGTATTTGATTAATTTTATTATAGCTATATTTTAATAGTTAATATTGCTATTAAATTTCTAGATCAAACGGAGAAGAACAATTCATTGTTCATCGAAATCGTTCTGTTCTTACGTTGAATTCAATGTTAAATGCTAGTAATGGTGATGCTAGTAATGATGTAGCAGCAGGTAAACCAACACATTGGGAAGACACAAGAAAGCAATCATATGCTGGTCGACGATCAAGAAGGAATTCATTTTCTGAAGATTCACAAGTATGCATATTATTATTAATTTATATGAATAATTTTAACTTTGAGTTTAGGTACTATAAGTTTTTAGTTTTATAATGTATCCAATATTTATAAATTATAATTGAAATTTAATTTAATTCAGCTAACTGTGGAAAACTTTGGTGGATCACAAGATAATTTACATTTCCTTGGTCGAAATCCTGACAAAGAACCTGCAATTCACGTTGCACGAAAAGATAGCATAAGTAAAATTACCAATTCACACTCCCAGGAAAATGATAGTTCTGGTGTTCAAAATTTATTACAACACTCAAATGCTAGTTCTGCTATTAATTTATTGCAGCATACTAATACTAATTCTGGTGCTCAAAATGTATTACAACACTCCAATACTAGTCCAGGTATAATTATGTTAATTGGTGATTTTTTAAAATACTACATTTTTTTTAAATTTAGCCATGTCGAGAGTTTCTAGTGATGCATCTAATAATAGCCAAGGTCTTCAACGAATGTTATATGATAGTTTTGATGATGTAGAATCAGTTGTTCAACAACCTATGCCTACATTGAAACGGAGTTTATCGTATGTTGATACTACACAACCTGTACATCCATCCAGTACTACTACATGGTTGCAACAAAGCTCTTCATCTGCTGCTCATAGTGAACATGGTATGATTGTTATTGTTATAATTTGATATTATTTTAATGTTTATATAATTTTTTTAGGAGATGATTCTGAGAGTGATGGTTCTGTTATGAGTTCTCAGCTGCTCAATATAAAACTCAAGTTAGAAGAAAAAAGACGCCAGATTGAGAATGATAAACGTAAAATGGAATCTCTTATGAATCGACAGAGACAACAAGTAGGAAAAGCGGCATTTTTTCAGGCTGTCACTAGGGTATTGTTAAATATTGATTAATATTAAAATCAAAATATTATTTCATTAAAGATTATTTATAGAGTAAAAATGGTGGTAGAAATTTACAAAGTCCAGATTCAAATTATAGTAGAATGATGTTTGATGGTAATATTTCACCATCTTCTATTAAAACTGCCCAGCAGTCTTTTACATATCAAGTATTTATTAAAAAATTAATTTTGCTATTTCTACTAACACTTTATTTTTAAAGATTATTTTATTGATTTATTAATTGTTTGTTAAAATAGGATAACGGCATAGAAAGTAAATGGTCTGATCGAATGAGTCCATTCACAGATGACCGCAAGACTCCAGACTTGGATCATATTAACACTGAAGACTATAATACTCTTTCCAAGTTAATATAATAATTAATTTATAAATTATATTTAAATTGTTTTTTTAATTTTTTTTTTATAAATTCCATCTTGTTTAAATATTATTCAGAATGCATCCAAATTATCAAGATATGCAAGCTGATTTACAATGTCTAACTAATCAAAAAAGTCAAATACAACATAACAGTTTACAATCTGAAATGATGCAACATTATCCGGGTATCCAATCTTTGCAACAAGTTTATCAAAATTCTCATTCTATTCATCAACCACAAAATTTTTTAATCAATCGGCAACAAAGTAATAATTGTGTAATGCCTAACGGGCAAATGATACAACACATAGAACATAATAATACTGATAATGGTCAACAATGGCATAGTCTTATGAATCATAATCAACCATCTTTACCTGTGTACAACAACTACAACCAGCCACAACATCCACAGTACCAACATCAACAACCATATGTTAATCAACGACCCATACCTAATACATTACAAAATTCTACAATGGAAAACCATTATATACCCCAAGAATCTTATGAGCAAATAGTGCAACCTAATAAGGAAACACAGTCTCAACAGTTTTTTTTACATAATAACCAGCAACAACATATTCAACAACAGCAGCAGCAACAACAACAACAACAACAACAACAAAAGTTTAGAAAAAGTTGGGATGTGACACCATCACAACAAGTGCATACATTTGCTCAAGAATCTCCAAATATTTGGAATGGCAGGTAATTATTTTATCATTGGTTTGAATTTTAAATTGTGAAATTTTATTACTTTATTTCATATATAATATATTTTTTTAGTCGAACAATACCAAAGTCTTCGCAGCCATCATCATTAAGTGGATCACCACGTCAGAAGTCTGAATTTGCTTTGTTAAATAGATCTGGTGTTAAAACTAGTCCTTCTTCACCAGTCCCTCCCCCTCGTCGGAATTCCAATCATGTTGTAAGCCACTCACAATTGCCAACTCCATCTATTGACGATATGCAACCACAAAGTATTTCATTCATTGGTATGTTTTTATTTATTATATATATTCTTTTATGACAAAATTAAATTTTTAAAATTACATTTTAATGCAGGAAACGATTCAAAGAAGTCAGATCTTGATTTTTCTGAAAGCTTGAATAGAATTCAAATAACATCTGGTCATAGGACATATAGGATACCATCTCCTACACGAACACATATGCCTATCAATCGTAATTCTTTTAGTGATAATTCCTCTATATCCCAAACTAGTCATAATACATCTGCAAATACATCCGATAAAGGTTTTTATGTTTCATTTGAAGAAACAGATACTCCTAAGCGACCTAAACCACCATTGAGAACAAAAAAGATTGTGTCAAAGGTAATTAATTAATTTTATCAGTCTTTTGTTTTATGATATGTTATATTTTGATATCAATAAATACATTTAAAATTGGTTTTAATGTCCAAATTAATTTAATTTATAGGATAGAAATTTAACCCAAGTATTGAACAATTCTGTGTCATTAAATAACTTGGATATATCACCTAGAAATTTCAATTCTTCCACATCGCCTTTTTCTAAGCCTAAAGAATTTTCTACTCCAGTTAAATCTGCTTCTGAATCTACTGTAATGCAGAGCTCAAATAATAAAACAAATCACCCAAAATCGTCAACACCTACAGGAGTTGAACTCATTATTGAAAATTCCAACCCAGATCCAGTATGAATAAAAATATATTTATTTAAAATTAATTATTTTATCAATTTGTCATTAAATAATTATTATTCATATTCAGAATGCTATTGATGAGATGGAAAAGAAAAAAGAAAGGATACTTATGTTGTCTTTACAACGGAGGCAACAACAAGAAGAAGTTAAGAACAAAAAAGAAATTGAAGCACAAAAGCGTAAAGAAAAAGAGAAAGAGAAAGAAGAAATGAAATTACGTAAAAAAGAAGAAGAAAAACAAAGGAGAGCAGTGATATTAGAACAATATAGGATTAAGAAAGCTATCGAAGAAGCTGAAAGAGAAGTAAGTAATTGTTAATAAGGTTACTATTAAAAGAGTTTTTCTTTCTATAGTATTTATAATTAATATCCATTATTAAGGGAAAAACTGTAGATAAAGAACTTCTAAATTCTCTGAAAACAAATAATAATCATACTACGGGTGGTCCTCCAAGGTTACGCAGTAAAATGCAAAGTGGACGTCCACGACCTAAAACTATACATGTTGATCGTAGTGATGCACATGACGGAACATTGACACCATCTCGAGGCAAGAAGGGCTCAATCACAAATCTTGCTAGTTAGTATTATTGTTATAACATTATGTTATAATATTCACTACCTTTATCCTCACGCTTGATGTTATTTAATGTTCAATTTTATTTAATCTTTTTTTTTATTTTTTTTATCACGTCTGAAATAAAAATGTTGTTTTTGCACGTAGCGTTAAACTCACAAATTAGACGAGATTATTACAGAGGATCGCAAGACTGCTTAGCTGAAACAAGGCGAACGTCGACCTCTTCTCTTTATTCAGGTATGTATGACATTCCTAAGGCCAGTAAAATATTGATTTCTTCTTTGGAAGCCCAAGTATTTTTTGCTCCTTTTATTTATTGTATAGACGTCACTGATGAAGGAAAACTCAATACACCAAGAAATTTGGATCGTCATGGTTCATATAAAAATTCTAGAGGTTAGTATAGTATACTTATGTTATATGTGGGTAGACAAATTAGTTTATTTTTTAGTCGACTATTGATTGCTTGCTATTTGTATATTTTGCTCTATAGCAATAATTATTACAAAACGTGTGGCATCATGCTTGTGTAAGCATTAAACATATAATACCGTAATTAGTTATTGAAAGATCGGTTTAAAGTTGTCTAAAAATTTTTAATTTAATTTGTGTATGAACTCAATACAATTTATTTTATTGTTTTATTTTATCTTTTCAATTGTGTTTCAAATAATATCAATTATATTTTGTTTTTTTTTTTTTTTTATAAATAATAGATTAATATATACTTTAAATTTTTTTATTACTATATGATCGTGATTAACGTGAATTTGCAGTTTACCATATTCCAATATTTTTTGTTTGTTGTGTTAGTGTGTAATCTATCCCTATACTATAACCTATATATATATATATATATATATAACAGTATATATAACTATATATAACAGTTTTATATATAGAAAATGTGACATCACACCATAAAATGAACATTCTAATTGAAATCACATTGAAATTACTATTGAAATGTATGATATATTTCGGTTCGGAAAATAAAATTACAGTTTTTTTTATTTAATTATTATGTTTTCACATATATGATATAAACCGTAGAAAAAAATTAATCAAATGTTTGTAAAAATAGTGTCTTATATCATTATACTTATAGTGGCTGATGTGTAAAACTATTAGTTAAACTACTGCATTCATTTTTTTGTATAGAAAAATCCTTGTAGTTTTAGGAAGTAGTACTTGTTTTACAAATTGTTGGTAGCATGTTTGGCATACGTTTTTACAGATTCTTCTTTGGACAGAACAAAGCGTAAAACAAATTTTGGATACTACAATAGTGCACCTCGTAAATCCAGTTCTCTCATGAATTTGTATGGTAAGATAAATGTAAAAAAAAAAAAAAAAAAAATGGTGAAGGTCTATTACGCATGAAAAATGTATAGCAAATATATTCAAGTATGGCATATTGTGGTGGTGGAAATCTTATAACTCTTTATTAGGTGTTTGATTGGTTGTACTTTTGTTAAATGAACACAATATATCTTAAGTCTATTAGGTAAAATAATATTGTTTTACTATTCCTAAAAAATATTAATTAAAAATTATATTGTATATTAAGAATATTTATGATGTATTTATTATTTTAGAAATTAGTTGTGTTTGATGTTATTCATTAGTTATCATCTGTACAAACTTTTTTTATTTCGAACGTAAGTTTATTTTATTTATTCGTTGTTTTTGTCAGTGTAATCTCATATCTTATTATATTATGGTTTTATCCATTCATTTTTTACAACATGAAATTATATTCCACATAATCCATATCACGGTATTTATATATTGAAATATAATTGTATTATATAAAAACAATAGTGTTATATTTATTTACATGTACTAATATCGATGTATATATCATTTTCTATTCGGTATTTCGTTGCTAACTTTAAGTAAAATGTTAATTATCATAAATTTAAATTGAACTTTTTGAATTTCAGTTTATTTAAAATGTATATTATTATGTATAATCATAAAATATTAACAAGATACCTACACATATTATTATGATTTTATAAATATAAAACAAACGTTCGATACAGTTAGCAGTACTTTTTGCGTGTGGTAAAATCGATAAGATTAAATTTTATGATAGCTTTGTATTGAAATAATTAATGTAATTTTTATTATTTCGGATTGATATTTGATATTTATTTTTCAAGTGTTGATTTCCAAGTTATTTATTTTTTATTTATCACAATTATTATTACTTTTTTTTTTTTTTCTGAGAATGAACAGTAAAAACATACATTGTAATTTATGTGTATTAATAATGAAGTGGCTTAAATAAATATATATACATAAATAATTTTATACAGTGATATAAGTAAGTAGAAGGTTTTGAGGGTTCAAACCCTCTTCCATTGCCAAAATCTTATTTAATAAATATTTAGGTAATAATAAAAATAGTTTTATATAAATATATCAAACACCCCATAAATAATTTTTACCTACGCCCTTGATTATGTATATATATATACAGTGGAACCACGATTAAACGTGTCTCGATTATCCGTGTTCATGATTAACCTAACTCTTTCAAAAATTATCGTCGATTCAATTTTGTTGAATAAATTCCATACTATTTAGTGTGTTTTTAGCATTTGTAATAGGCTTTTCGAAAATAGTCGTTAAGAAAATAACATTGTACATACTTATTATGCATACAGCAATATACATATTTTCATAATTCGTTTAATACAATTTATCGATTAACCGTGTTTTTAATTTATTCGTGTTACCCTTCCCCACAATTACCCCGGATAACCGAGGTTCTACTTTATACTCGTATATATACATAAAAAAGCATGCTATTACGAATATAATTATTTACATTTTATTCGTGGTATATTACTGTTGCAATTAATGTTAATGTTATCACTAACAAGTATAATATATACTACATTTAATAATCAAAATGTAATAATAATTATTTAATAATTATTCTTATTTTAAATTTTTACAACGTGTTTGAAATTTAATTCACTATATTAAAACTTAATATTTTATTATCATGTATAATATTTATTTTAACAATTTTAGTAGAATAAAATAGATAACCAGGACACAAACACACGGGTGTTTTTTTTTCTTATAATTGCTTATACCATTGTGTTATATATATATATGTGTTTAAAATTAGTATCACTAAACCATCAATCGACCGATCATTTTATTTTTTTCAAAAGTTGTAAGTTAATAATTTTTTTTTTTTTTTTAGGAGGTTCTAGTTGTGACCAAGACAGTCTCCTGTATCGGTGTGGTGATACAGACTCGGGTCTTGGACGGGCTACACCTCCCAGAAGAGCCGCTTCACCATCCGGACCAGGTTCACTGCCCATTCGTCGCAAGTTTGACGATGCAGCCAGCGAAAGTGGTGGTAGCGATTACAGTGGTCCCAGGTACAATTCATAGTTATAATATTAAACAATTTACTCTTTTCATCGTGGTCACTCTTCGTCAAATACAAAGCGTTTACTTTATTCCCGTAGTTTTTAATTGAAATACATTTTCTTCCTGTAGACGTTTTTCGTTTGAAAATATTATTCATAGATTCTGCAATATCTGAAGTAAAAAATATCAATGCTTAATTACTTTTCGTCGAACAATAATTTAAACTATTGAGTGAAAGGCTCATTGATAATTTCTTCTTAAAACCCAACCCATGATTAAACCGGATATTTTTTCAATACTCCCTTCAATATATTGATAAAGTTGCTTTTAGACATAATTTTATCTTACAAATTGTGAAACAATAATGTTTATGAATTAAATACATTTTAATTATCTTTTTTCCTTAGTTTTTATATTCTGTAGACTTAAAAAAACAAATTTTCATAAATAACAAAAACTGTTATTGATACATTGATGTTTGTAATTTTTTAGGTTATATAAACAACCAGTGACAAAATCAAATCGTGGTATCATCCTGAACGCGGTTGAATACTGCGTGTTTCCGGGTGTAGTGAACCGGGAAGCCAAGAAACGGGTACTTGAAGAGATCAATAGGTCCGAAGCTAGGCATTTCTTAGTGTTATTCCGTGATACGGGCTGTCAGTTCCGAGCTCTGTATTTATATTATCCAGAGACGGAGGAGGTAGCAAAACTTTATGGTACTGGTCCACGGGTTGTCACCGATCGTATGTTCGACAGGTTTTTTAAGTGAGTAGACAATCAATGAAATATATTTAATTTTCCTTACCACTTGTTACAATTCACTTGAACTAGACTAGGAATTTTTGAAAAATTACTCGAGTTGATATTTAATGTTTAAATATCTTTAAATGTACCTATAATAGTTAGGGTTGAGAGAAAATAAATTCGCTTGGTCGTTAATTTGTTTAATATGATGTATTTACCTAATAAATTTATTGAAAACTAATAAACATGAAATTTACTCAAATCCTGATAATTATATAGAATTTTCATTTTTAGACAATTGGTTTAAAATATTATTTGTAAAAATTTTTTAGATTATATGTAATGAATTTGAGTTTAATCTAATCTAATCTAATTATCATGTTAAAGGGTCGCGTTAAAACAGCAACAATAAGTTGAATTATTTTAGGATTTAACTATCATTGAATATTAATATTATGTTTGTGGTGTTCTAGGTACAATTCAGGTGGCAAATGTTTCTCGCAAGTGCATACGAAGCATTTAACCGTCACTATTGATGCGTTTACCATACACAATAGTTTGTGGCAGGGTAAAAAAGTGAATTATCCTAACAAAAAAGATATGACTTTAGTCGTTTGATATTCCTTTGTCAACAAGGATTGTTGTATTACACTAGTTTTTTAGGAAATTGAAATTTAACAAAAATGTTGTCCAGTCATTTATATATGCTGTATATGGAACGCAAGTTAACAATTTATTTTTTTGTTTAACAGAAAGTTTCAACTCTTCCAGCTGTTTATAGTAGTATTAATATTAAAAAAGTAAAAAGTAATTATAGCTGAATAATACCTACCTATTATGTATTTTAAATTAATCATTCTTGCGGAGAGATAATATTAATTGTTAAAGATATTATTCTATTTGCATTTACAACTTAATTGTATGAATTGTTGTTTGAATTAAGGAAACATTTTCTTTTTTTAATCTGTTCGTCAGTTGTGATTTATTAAAATGTATTATTATTAAGAATATTAACTAACATTTGGATATTTTTTACTCAAACCTCATGTTGCGTGCGTTCTTCTTTACTTATATAATTATATATATCCATAGATGTTTATGTTTATGTTGCAATAGTATTTTTGTGTACATGTTTTTAAAAACATTAAAAATTTAATAATTTTTTTTTTATCAAACATGTATTATATTAAATATTTATATATGAATATATACTGGTGACTAAAATTGCCTATAACTATAACAATGTTCATACAGTTTATGTTGCATTAGATAAAAAATGCTAGTATAGCATTCAATGTTAAATTATTTTATTAATATTATTTTTCTCTTTGGACAAACGAAATTGTTTCGTTAATTTACATCGAAACGATATTAATTGTTGTATTAACGTACTACTTACATTTATAGTTTAGAAAATACATTTTTTTCGTGCATATCGAAATACTGTAGTTTTGTACAAGTATATTATAGGAAGAAAATAAAATGCGCGTTTTAATGAGCTTTGTCGATAATTTTGATTTTCTTATTTTGTATTTTGACAATATTAAAATTCGTTTTTAAAATAATATAAGTATAAAACATGCACGTGCAACTTCACCTTTACGTTTGTATTGAATTGTGTAAGTATGCTAGCGTAAACGAAGTAATATTTTTTAATGGTAAAGAACACAATAACTTCTAATCAAAATTAATTGAAGAAAAAGAATAACAAATAAACAAATAAAAAATAAAAATGTTAAAACCCTACTATTATTTATTATTATTATTATAAAATTATAATTGACAAAAAGGATTAATACTCAATTTAAAAAAAATTTAACATCTATAAAGATAGTAACCAACTATTAATATAAATTTATTTATTTAGTTTAAATAGTTTATTTTTTAATTTTTTGTATTCACTTTAAGATTATACCTTAAGATCTGTTAATAATTGTGCCAATTTGTAAACATTAGTATTTTTATGTTTTATTATTTTTATTATTATTATTATTTTATTTTTTATTTTTAAATATTTTATTACATTATTTCACCACGGACTACCTTCTATACAGTTGTAGGATTTACAACTATGTAATATTGCAACTATTAATGTAATAGTACTATTTTATTACATTTCTTTTTCTCAAAATATTTGCTTTAATATGCCTGTATGTCATTGATTTATTGAATGTTAAAGTTAAATATTGTTTTATGAATTTAACGCTTAAGAAAAGTATGACTTAATGTTCTGATTTAAATTTTGTATTCGATTTTTTTATTTAATTTTTATATTCATGTATTTGTACACACAATTTAATTTATTAATTTGTAGGCCATAATCTTAGAGAACGAATGAGAGAGACGATTAACAAAAAAAAAAAAAAAAATGATTGAATTTTTACAAAAGGAAATTTAATATTTTATAATAATAATAATAATAATAATAATATTAATAATAATTATTATTATACTATATTTGATTATGTTCACTAAAAACTATTAATAACAGCGTTACACCTGATTCATTTTTTTTTTATATATATATTTATATACATATATAAATTATATATTGTATTGTGTTGTTAACTTTCGATTAAAATGTGATAATATACTAAGCTTTTTTCTTTCATTCTTATTTCGTATGTGTTTGTATGATTTCTTTTATACAGCCTCCAAGTACAAAACTGACATAGATAACTAGTGCCAATATTCGGTTGGTAATACAAGCAGGTAATGATTGAGAATTTGACGAAACTCTTTTATATTAGCCAACAATTTGACGGCCTTCTAGTAAAAGGAACTTGATCCAATTTGGTCCGAAGTATGGCTGTGTCAACATACATTTAAAACTTTAATAATTCATATAAATCGTTTGTAAGGGGTTGAGTATATATTGTTGTTACACGCTATGTTATGATAATAAGCATTATGATGTGAGAGAAAAATACGGTTGTATGCAAGATGGCAAGTTCAATCCGATTTTGATAAACAGTATAATTTTTATTTAAAACCAACATATCTGTGTAATTATTTAGGAATTTATACTTTGTCAACATTTTTAGTTAAAGTATAATTAATAGGGCGCGGGTTTTTATGTAATAAAAAAGTCAAAATATGTAAATATTTATGTTCTTATTTTTGCTAAAATATGTATAAAAAACGTAAAATTTTTAACAAAAAAAATCGGTATTTTCCATTAATTTTTAATTATTATTTAATAATTATTCATTTAATTATCTTCATTGTTGTCTTCTTCGGAACAATTGGATAAGACGTACATTAAAAGATTTTTAAATTTTAATGTACGGCGGTTAGATTTCAAAGTCAACTCGTTGCTGCTGAGGCTGCATTCAACGTCAATCAAGATTAATGGGCATATTTCATACCACATATATCGGATGGTGTTACTTCAATATAATTTGATATATTTTCATTTATATTAGTAAGATTATATCTAATAATTTAAATTTTTTTGTAAACCAACGTATTACCCAGTACGTAGTTTAATTTTTATTATAACTCCTTGAACTTAATTTCATTGAATTTGTGCATTTTTCCATTATCGCGAGACTTTCAATTATTGTTAGATTCAATGTTTCTAATATTTTATTATTTTAACCAAAACAATTTTTTTTGGAAATATATGCTAAATTATTTTGCAAGTTTTTTAATTTACATAATATCAGAAGTAATAGCATTTGTAGTATCTGAATCAAGATTTGAAAAAATATCTTCTTTCATTTAATTCCAATATAATAATTGTAAATTAAATAAAAACTGTATTGAAATGGTATGAAAATGTGAAATATTTACAGAATATGTAAATATCAATGAAATATTTAAAAATATGTATTTACATCAAAATATGTGAAAATATGTAAAATAAAATAGGTCTCATATTATTCATGGTGTTATGAAACGTGCTTATTTTTAATTAGAATTGAGAAATTCACATTCAATAAATATATGTAATTACATAAAAATCCGCGCCCTAATAATTAATATTCGATTTTATATTTCCCTAGAATTCAATCGTTGTAAATCAAGCATTATAGTTAATTTTAAAATGTTGATAAATTGTTCTTTTGAAAAATCCAACTTCCGAGACCTCTTTTACCCGGGGGAGGCGATCGAATTTTCGACTTGTCTTCGGCGCCGTCACGGATCTCGTTTGAGCAATAGTTGCCGAATAAAAAACCATTCTCACTCGAGCGTGACGACGCAGAGTATAACGATTCGCCGTCCATCGGAATAACGAGCACCGGCCGTATGCTGCGGGGACGCGTTAAAAATAATAATCCGCGACTAAGCAGCCGACGCTCGTTATGCACCGGACGTATTGCGGCGAAACGTGAAATACGTATTGCTCGGTCATTATACAGTTTGCCCTGTCAGATGTGTGTGTGTGTGTGTGTTTTGTGTACCATAAACCGTAATAAATATATTAATTAATTAATCATTTTTAACCGTATATGCTTGTACCTACCTACCGAAACGCGAATGTTTTCGTCTACGTTTTACACTTGAAAAAAATAAAGTGCAGTACATTTTTTTTTTCTAGTTCGATGTGCACGTTTGCGTTTCCCCGATATTCGACTAACTGAAAATATTGCGAACAGAGTGACTGACGCGGAACACTCTTCGATGTTGGGGGAATCAATAGGATATTATTTTCTCGTTCGCAGGGTAGTGTAAAGGTATAGACTTTTGAGATCGGTTAATAGGTGACCATACCCGCTCAGGCCCTCTAGAAATTTTATGCTTGGGCCTCGAGCTATATTTGTTATTTTTAATAATTTTTCAATTCCACGAAATAATACGCACGAATACAATATTATAATACTATTTACAAAAATAAAACAACTTGAACAGTCCGAATGCGGCCGCGTAGGCCATGAAAGTCATTGTCAGATTCATTTTTAGAATTTATTATGTTACGATACACGTCAATACGTCATGGAATGGTGAAATCTTTTTTTCATCTATGTTTTATAAATCATTAATCGTGTATACGATAGTTCGACCACGGACTAATATAAATAACTAATATCGTCAATATTATGAGTATGTTCCAAACACTTTATATTTAATATTTACGTACACTACTATTCCGAATTCCGATCATTTGTTTACGACGCGTTGATGTGGTTCGGTTTATTAGTTGTATACTCAATCTCAAAAGTTCATACACAAAAACATACAAGTAAATACTAAAATTATTATATTTCGTATATTTTTAAGAATATTGTAAGAATATTTTTATAAATTGAATTGCCCAAATTGTACTCCTTAATAAATGACCGGTACCGACACCCTTAATATAATTATGTTCAGTCAAATTTTATCTCAATAATATTTTTTTTAAATAGTGGTTACTGGTTATACAATGGAAATGGAAGATAAGAATAAAAACAAAAAACCAAAATGTAGTTATTAAAAAATATTAGAAAAGCGGGCGGCATTATTGTTTGCAGCTGGGTCAGATAGCAAACAACGAAAGCTAAATTTTACTGTTATAACTTCATTTAAAAAATTAAAATGAAAATGTATGTGAAGTTTCACGACTCCTTCGTGCTATTGAAAAGTCTTCCAATAATAGTAATGAAATTTAATATGAATTAATCCCGGAATTTTCTACAAAAGTCTCCAACATAATACATCCTAATTCAAGATTACCGATTGAAGTTTCAAGTGATCAAGATGAATCAAATGTAAATATCAATAAAGATTATGTGTTTTCTTCATTCGAATCCGACTCTGACCAAATTGATATGGCTAAAGTAATCGAGTCTAGTACAGCCATTAGACATTTAATTCCCTCTATTTTTAGAAGCCATCATCAAACAAAAGTTGCATTTGTTAATGCACACCCTTGTCAACCTCAAAGTAATGCATCATTTACTTGTACTTCTAATAAAGTTTATTTAAGAAAAATTCCTGATGGGAAATATGTAAACAGAAAATGGGTGACTTATAATAAAACTAATAAAAAGTCTATTGCTCTATGGCCTTCATTCGTCCAAATACTACTC